TTTCCTGATGTACTCCTTTTGGGTTCCTCAAATTGTCACAAATGTCATCCGGGATACAAGAAAACCCCTGCACCCTCAGTATATTTTAGGCATGACGATCACTCGCCTTGCTATTCCACTGTATATATTTGGTTGCCCTAGCAATTTCATGCGCATTGAGCCTGACAAGACATGGTGCATAGCTGTGACAATATTCATGGGTATCCAAGCGGCAGTGCTCCTGCTCCAGCACTATTTTGGTTCACGCTGCTTTATTCCTCACCAGGTAATTACTACATGGTCTTTCCTAAATCCTCATACACAGTTGATCTGTTGATCTTTCCTACACGCACTCTAGTTGCCATTCATGGCATTAAATTCCATGCCTCCCAAGTTTTTTTTTTCCTTCTATGCTTGCTGTATTATGCACTGTAGTACTTCCATTCCTCAGATTGGAACAATTTGTTCTACCTGTATCACACTATCATTAATAAATTGTCATGGGTACAATTTTCAGATTCTCCCTGAGAAATACTGCTACCACAGGAAGGTAGAGGATAACACAAATCAGCCCATTGATTGTGTTATTTGCATGACTACAATCGACCTTACCCAAAGAACAAGTGAATACATGGTAATTATGAAATCTTGTTGCCTGTGACTAACTGTGATGTCATAGATAACTTTGGCTGAACGTGTGCTGCCTTCTCCTTCAGGTGGCACCTTGTGAGCATATATTCCACTCAGGCTGTTTGCAACGTTGGATGGATATCAAGATGGAGTGCCCAACTTGCAGGCGCTCCTTGCCGCCAGCTTAGATGAGCACTACTTTGTACCATATAGTTAACAAGTAGGTAGCTCAGCATATTCAAGGTATTACAAACTCAACTCCTTTTCCCTTTTATCCGTAAAAGTGGCTTTATACATCTGCAGCTTGACGGTTTGTCTGTTTCGATGCATTTTTAGGTGGGAATTGAGGTGCAATAAGACGAGTTGCAACCATGGGTGGTTTCTCGAAGATAGCTGTAGAAAATCTGTTACGCTTTTAATCTCAAGTGATCTCTGTGTTGTACACAAATCATTGTACCAATTCTCCCACGGAGGAAAAAAAAATTTTACTTATGCAGTATTCTCGCTCGGCATGCTGCGTTCTTATGTCTTCTTCAGATCTGTCCTTGTTTTGATTATGTAAGCATTGCACAAAAGGTATTCTCACACTGCAAAACGAACTACGGTGTTCCAACTTCTGCGATCTGCGGTAATGCGCCGCCACCCATGCCGTTGAGGTGTGTGCCCCTGCTGTTCCGGCGTTTGTTGTCGGGTGTGCTGTACCCCGTTGAGGTGTGCCCATGTTTAAACGCAGGCAGTCGAGACCAACACGACGAGACAGGAATGCTGCAATTGGAGAAAGAATATGAGGCCCCTTTCAAATGGAGGAAAAATAAAGGAATTGAAATCCTACACTATTCATATCTTTGATTCGTAGGAACGAGAAAAGAAAAAACGTAGGAAACCTTCCTATTCCTACGATTTTAGAGGAAAAACGTAGGAAATTTAACATCTATTCTAACCTCTTGGAAAATTTTCTCTGAGTCTATCTCTTGGAAAATTTCCTCTGAGTCTAACTCTCTTATCTAATTCTTGTGTTTTTTCTGCGGTCTAATTAAACGGTTATTCCTATGTGTGTTTCCGGTATTTTGTAATCCTCTGTTTTATACTTTATGTTAAAATCATGTGTTTTTCCTATTCTTCCGTTTTTTCAACCTTGCGATTCAATGGGGCCCTGGAAGGGAAAAGGAGAGCAAAATGCAAGATACTGCAGTGGACGAGAGGTCACAATGCATTGAAATCGAACTTATTCACAATGCACTTCAATCATGTTTTTCTTTTTCTTTCGTACACTAGCTAAAGACCTGTGCGTTATAAAAGAATATTATAAAAGATAAAACAAAAGCAAAAACTTTATAGCATAACTAGTCGATTTAACATATAATGCAAAGACATCCATACTAAAATGTGTTGCTAGATCACCTCTTTTTATCCTCTTTGTCAATTTCCCTAAGCCATAAAGTCGGATAATACAAGATTGGATGCTTATAATTCATCTGTGGTAGTAGATGAATTTAAAGGTTTTGTATGTGATTCCTTTAAAATTTCTAGAATTAGCATTTTTATGGCTATTCATATGTTACGGAGATCTCATGCTTATGTTCTGACATGTAAGTTTGTGGTGTTGAAGACAAACTCGGACACCACAAAAATCATTCTAAGTAGTAAAGATAAGAGCACTTCAATTTCCTATAGAGATTGAGAAAATTTAATTTCAAACTGGACATAAAGGATAGTCCACCTTACCAGTTGCAACAGTGCCACCGCCAATTCTTTTACCCCTTGCCAGTAGTACTATGTGCCATTGGTCTCTTGTGATTAACAATCGGAAGAGAAAAAAAAACTCTAGGTTTGCTTCTCTGTGCTCATGTTGACAAGTTTTACTTTGAAACTAGTACTATCTCCGTTTCTCCGTTACAAAATATAAATATTTTTAAGATTGTCACATGTATTAAGAAAATATGTGTAAATGATTGGTTGAAAAGGAAACGTAGGTAAAGGATAATGGTTACGATTCGTTGAGAAGTAAGTAGGTGGAGAAGTAATTTTATTTTAATATAAAATACCGTGCTAGAAATAGCTACTTCATTTGTTCCAAAATATAACAACTTTTAACCCTCTGGATTTGTCACAAAATGTAACAACTTCTCCACCAACATTCTCTTCCTAACCAATCACAACCCTCTAGCATTCACTTTTTCTACCTACCTCCACTACTCATCCAATCACAACCCTCCACCATTCACTTTTACCTACTTTCTTAATAATCGTGTTCAACTTTAAAACGTCTTATATTTTGGGACGGATGGAGTATATTTTGGAACGAAGATATCAATGGAGTAACGGAACAGAAGAATTACTGCAATTGGCCGAGTTTAGTTTCAAATTTTTTCTTCAAACTTTTAACTTTTTCATCACATTAAAACTTTTTTACACACATGAACTTCCAACTTTTCCGTTACACCGTTTTAATTTTAACCAAACTTCTAATTTTGGTTTGAACTAAACATGCCCTTGGACTCTCTACGGGAAATTTCACTCACCTCAACGAGGCCACTGGATCTCAATCGATAGCTGGAGCATCCAATACCGCTACTCCAGCGTAGTGGTAGGGACAAATCGCCGCAACAACCGGGCGCACTTTCCCACTTCCGGTCCCCCCCCCCCCCCCCCCACCCGTCGTCGATACCGCCCGCCGGGACGGTGCAATAAACGTTACAGTGAGCTGGAAGGACATGCTGCATTGCATTGCTGCCCGGCTGCCCGTGATCTTAGTTTCGCACCGATTGGCTAAGGTTGATTTGCTCCCGATGATTTCTCCACGAGGCCGTAGTACTACGAGCAGTAGCTGTGTACCCCGACAAGATGCAACCCTTTTTTTTCTTTTTCTTTTTTTTCGCGCGCCTATTCATTTGTTGGGTGACCAGATTTTTTCTATCCTTACATTTACAACTAACGGATTACAAAAGAAAATAATAAATACATATTTACTTACACAATATTTATATTAAAATTATAGTGCACTTACCTGTCATATCAACTAAATTTACAAATGTAATTTTAGTTATATAGGACTGTAATTCTATATTTTAAAGAAAATAACTAATACATATTTACTTACACAATAATTTTTATCAAAATTACATTGCACTTACATGTCATATCAACTGAATTTGCAAATATAATTGTGTTATATAAAACTGTAGTTTTATATTTTATTTCATCAAACCAAACTAACACGCATGGTTGCATCCGTTCATATTCCTTATCTGGTTATAGTGTTGGTTGTGTGTCCAATAAAAATGCTACTAGGTGGTTCGTGCAGGCGTGCACGGTAGGGACGCATCACAGCCGTTAAATTAAGTCATGCCCAAGCGATCCAACGGAAGCAAATTCTAGTGATTTCCACAAAAAAAAAAAATCTGTCGCGTGATGTTTAACAAAATCGTTCAGAAAAAGAGAAAAACGGCCGCGCAATTTCTGGCGACTTCGAGTTTGAGGCTTTGAGCCAAAGCTCGCAATATTCTGGGCTTCTGTCGAGTACGAGCTCGAATCGAATAGCTCGCCAGGGGCAGGGCAGCTGGTTGCCTGGTTCTTGTCCAGGGCGCGGTGTCGCCTCCACCAACGGCTGCACCGCGGTTCTATCGGCACCGTCGTCGTAGCCCGCATCGACGTTGGTAGTCCAACACCTCCTCCTCCCAAGTTGCCTCGATCTATCTACAACACCGACCACCAAACATTATCTGTTCTGAAACACCGACCACCAAACACCGACCTCCCTAGTTGACAGCGGAAGTTCGGCGGCGACCCCCACTCCTTTCTTCCTCCAACCGGCGGCCTTCCTCCCTAGGCCGGACACTGACAAGCTCCTCTCCCTCTCCGTCAAGTTGCTGCGTGGTTTGGAACAGGGATAACGATGGGCTCAACAGCGCTGAATGGGGACGAAAACGAGGTTAGCCGCCTCCTCATCTTCTTCCTCTACCACCTTGTTGTCGAGGTCGCTAGATCCACTTTAGGGGTGGCAACGCATCTCGTGGTGGTGGCCTCGCCGACGACCGCCACCACCCTTGCATGAGGTGTGGGGGTGTTGCACGGGGCCACGCCTCTTCCAACACGCCACTCGCCTCATGCCTCAGCTCCGCCCTGACATATGCCTGCGTAATTTCTGATGAAAAACCCGTGTCTTTATTTTAGCTCCGTGGTCTTTAGATTGGGAGCGCGGATGTGTGCGTGGCGTGAAATCTCCGACGTGAACGGTCGGGGGTGAACGCCATGTAAGTATACTGTGAATGGCCTTAGCCCTTGGTCCGGACATTCATTCCTGCGCGCTGATAACCAATTCCCAGATGATTATTGTTATCCTCTCCTCGGGTGGCTCGTGCGTGGGTCGGGAGCACGAACGTGCACGGTGCACTCCTCTCACTATCCCTCCCGTACCCCAACTAAAAAATGATAAAAGGAGGTTAACCTGTGACCACATCATCTGCACAGCTCAAGTCTCCATTACTAATCATAAAAGCACCCCGTATTTGTCTGTCGCTAATCACGAATATTCTAATACTACACTCGGTTTTAGCTCTCGAAATCAGAGTTTTCAGGCAGCTTGTTGTTTCTCTGCCTCGAGAGAAAAGAAAAAAAAAGAGAAATCTTGGGAGTGCCAAAGCGGAGGAGAAAGGCTCGTACTTTGAAGGGGAGGGAGGAGCGCAATGCAGCGCGGATCTCTCGGCGTGCTGCGGCTGCGGCTGTGGCTGTGGCTGCTCGCGGTCTCCGCATCAACCGCTGTTCTTGCGGCGGATCCTAGCAAAGGTGAGCTTTCTTGCTTGATTCTTGTTTGCCTTTTTTAGCTTTGAAAAGCTCAGTTTCCTGGGTCTTCCTGCTGAAATGTTTGCTAAATGCAGCCCAAACCAGCGACCGTTTTTAGTCTGTGGAATGAAACAATTTCGTCTACAGAATGAGAAATTCCTGGCTATTTTACCCCTTCTTTCCTTCCCTTTTTGGATCTTGAAATGCGAATCGTGTCTTGGGAGGATGTAAGCGGCGAGGTGGGTTCCCCCAGTTTGAGTTTTTGGGTCCAATGCTGCATTTCTTGAGTCTTGGCCAAAATTAGGCGCTGTTGTTTGGTTTCAATCAAGCAAATTTGTGGGAATATCCTTCTATTTTTAAGCATTTCTTGTATTTTGGGGGCACTGCATTGTTCACGGAAAAAAAAGATTGATTTTGACCCCTTCTGAGATACTACTACTTATGATATTTCTGTTCCCTTATCGAGTTCATCCATTTTGGAGTTCATCCATTTTGGGAGTACTACTCCCAAGGAGTCCAGTTTTCTTTGCGAGTTCGCATGTGCTATTTGATAGTTTCCATTTTGCTAGGACAAATCTTGCTCAAGCTATGACTGAATAGGAAGTAGGAACTACTCCCATTTCTGTATATTTGTACTTTCACGGTTTAATGAACTCAGATAATATTTGCTGTAGTTGCTTGATTGATTGTTCTTGTCTAGCATGACATAGCTGTGTGCCGTAATTCAAGTATCTTGTTTTCAGAGCCATTCACCATCCGCATAAGCTGTGGGAGTTTTGATGATATCCGGACAGCTCCTACCAACACATTGTGGTACAGAGACTTTGGTTATACTGGTGGCAGATTTGCAAATGCTACACGGCCGAGCTTCATAATTCCTCCGCTGAAAACGCTCCGGCATTTCCCTCTGTCTGATGGTCCTGAAAATTGCTACTACATCAACAATGTTCCCAATGGGCACTATCAAGTTAGGCTTTTCTTTGCTCTTGTGGCTGATCCTAATCTTGACAGCGAGCCGATTTTCGATGTTTCCGTCGAGGGTACTCTATTTAGTTCTTTGCTGTTGGGTTGGAGCAGTGAGGATGAGAAGACATTTGCAGAAGCTTTGGTTTTTGTCCAGGACTCAAGCCTGTCAATTTGCTTCCACAGCACTGGTCATGGTGATCCATCGATACTTTCTATCGAAGTTCTCCAAATAGATGACAATGCCTATAAATTTGGTCCTTCATGGGGGAAAGGTACAATACTTAGAACTGCCAAAAGGTTGACATGTGGTTCTGGCAAACCAGCATTCGACGAAGATCTAAATGGTATTCACTGGGGTGGGGACAGATTCTGGTTAGGGGTGAAAACTTTGTCTTCCAGTTCTGACGACCAGCCGATATCAACTGAGAACGTTATAGCAGAAACATTACTTGCACCAAATTTTTATCCTCAAAGCATCTACCAGTCTGCTATTGTGGGTACTGACAGGCAACCAAGCCTATCCTTTGAAATGGATGTTACTCCAAACAGGAATTATTCTGTGTGGCTTCACTTTGCAGAGATTGAGAATGGAATAACTGCGGAAGAGGAAAGGGTGTTTGATGTACTTATCAATGGGGATACTGCATTCAAGGATATTGATATAATTCGCATGGCAGGAGAACGTTTTACTGCCCTTGTTCTGAATAAAACTATTGTTGTCACTGGGACAACACTAACAATTGTCTTGCAGCCTCTTAAAGGAACACGTGCCACTATTAGTGCTATTGAGGTCTTTGAGATCATTCTGGCCGAAAAGAAAACTTTAACTCAAGAAGGTTGGTGCTTGATACCCTACAAATTACTTTCCTTTTGTTTCAAGCAAATAGCAAACTATGGTAGTGGCTTTTTTGAACATTGTACTGACTTTATTTTGACTACTGAGCCTTTTTGTGTCAAATTGCGTATGAAACTTTTAGTCCCATTTCCATCTTGTAGATGATTGAGGCCACCTTAGCTTTTCATGATGTATATTGATCGATGAAAAATGTACTGCCAAATAAAGTAGCTTTTACTGAATGCAAAAAATGTATTGATGTCTTTTTTCAAAGAACAGAAAATGACACGCGAATCACCAGAGTTTGCTGCTTATGTAATGATTTTCCTGTTTTAATGCTTTATAGTGAGCGCATTGCGTACTGTGAAGGGTTCGCTTGGTCTTCCTCTTCGATTGGGCTGGAACGGTGACCCCTGTGTTCCTCAACAACATCCATGGAGTGGAGTTGAATGCCAGTTTGATGATATCAAAGGCCATTGGGTCATTGATGGGCTGTATGTTCTCTATATCACAAAAATCAATATTTATCTTTATTATTAGCTTGCTAGAAATGCCACACTGATTTTTTATTCGTTCAAATAACATAAATAGAAGGATTCCGCACGGTCTATTTTCTCATTTATTAAATTTCAGTAACATGAAACTAATACATAATAATAAGGTATGTTCTAGTAAGCAATATTGCATACAATTGCCCAACCAAAAAAAAGGAAGGTCTGAAGGACTAATAATAGGACAAAATATGAGACCGTGAACATATAGTAGTTAACTAAAAGATAGTGCCAAATGACATCACTTGTGAAATTCCACATGTATTCAATTATCAGGTGAAGATTGTTGCAAGCATACTATTGCTAGTAGTTCTACAACAGCTATCACCTAATCTTATTGTACAATAAATTTAAAATGCTCTAGAATTTGATTTTACAATGCCATGCTGTCATATATTCTTTTCAGACAATTATTGATTGTCATGTGATTTTCCCATGGATTTCCTAATGAACTGCTGGTAAACCATTGATTCGAACACCAATCTTTTCATAGTTTGGTTTTAGTGTTGTAAAAGTTGTGTTTTGATGAACTAGGGGCTTATCCACAATTTTTGGTTTCTGACATGCATTTCAATTTCAATAGTTATCCATCAACAGGAAATCTTTTTCTATCGCAAGCATTTAAACTTAATTCCTGAACATGCAGAGGTCTTGACAACCAAGGTTTGAGAGGATTTATACCTTCTGACATATCTAAGCTACAACATCTACAAAGCATGTAAGTTGGTATCTAATAGAGACGATCTGATTTCATTTTTTTGAGGAGCACTAGTATGCTTTGCTAGATCTTATGATAAGTGCAGTATCTGAAACCTTCACATTATAACAGCATTAATTAAGGACTGCTGGAAAGTATTCAAAACCTATAAAGCTGTAACATTGCAATGGATGCATTGACCTACACACCTGTGCAACATATATGACTGTTGGAAAGTGGTCATGTCCAGTATCATCTGAAAATCTAATATGAATATGGGATTTTTGTGAAATCTAAATGACATGTTCTAACTGCCATTGCCATAAGAAAGTTTTGCCCCTCTTCTAGTCTGACACAAGTACAATCCCATTTTGTCAAACAGAAACTTGAGTGGTAATAGCATAAAGGGCAACATTCCTGTCACCTTGGGTACTATATCAGGGCTGCAAGTGCTGTAAGTGCACCTCAACTATATTTTACTATTATGTTTCCCTTGATTATTTCAAGAACATTCATAATATGTTCTCTTGATTAAAGAAAGAGTATGTAAAATGTATTTGTATTCTTTGTGTTTGAGCTTCTTAAGGCTTGATGCCAAATGTTCTTGGAGGTAACAATAAGGGAAATTTATTTGTTTGGTCAAAGCGTACCTTTTTGGTGATAACACATGACCTCAGAATGGGATATTGCAATGGTTAGATCTTGGCACCTTGCATCATGTGCCTAAAATTACCGATATCCCTGCTCCTTTATTTTTATTGTGAATATTCATCCAGCTTATTGCCTGTTCTCTGCTGACATGGAACTCAAAAGTGAATTGTATTTCATTTCCTTATACTCCTGAGATTGAAACTGCAGTTGGAAGCTAATGATTCAGTTAAATATCATTTCTTGATTAATCCTATCTCTGTCAAATCCGCACTACTCTTAGACCAAATTTAAGTTATATCGGGAAAGAGCAGCAGTTTTTTGTATAATACTAACTTGATAATTATGTTTGCAGAGATCTGTCGTACAACGAACTTAATGGTTCTATTCCAGATAGCCTTGGTCAGCTGGCATCGTTACAGATACTGTGAGGACATTTATTATGCATTTTGTTTTGTTTGGGACATGCTTTATGCTTCTCCCTGTTATCTTAAAAGAATAGCTCTCATGCAGGAATCTGAATGGCAATTATCTTTCTGGAAGGGTACCAGCCAGCCTTGGAGGAAGACCTCTACACAGAGCTAGATTTAAGTAAGCACTCTCTTTTCATTTTGTCACTATATGTAACCTGGTTTCAATTTGCCACATCCTCCATATACGTAATCACACATACCAATCTAGATACATCTGGCTGGTAATTGCTGTTAATAGAAGATTGAATGATAACAAGTTAAGTAGCTTATGATTGCTGAATGCTGATATGGCAGCTTCACGGACAATGCTGGACTTTGTGGAATTCCCGGTTTACATGAATGCGGCCCGCATTTATCTGTGGCTGCAAAGATTGGTATGGCTTTTGGGGTACTGGTAGCTATCCTATTTCTAGTTGTATTTGCGGCATGCTGGTGGAAGAGAAGACAGAACATTCGCCGTGCGCAGAAATTAGCTGCAGGTAAGAAGCAATCATAAGTTGTTAAAATCTGAATGCAGGGTGTACGCCTTTTCTGAATATAAAGGACTGATTGCCCATTTCCCCCTTATATTACTGCAGCAAGGGAAGCTCCTTATGCAAAGTCTCGAACACAATTTACACGGGACATGCAAATGGCGAAGCATCACCGCCCACATGAAAGCTCTCGGAGCGGCAACGATGAAAGCACTCCACATTTGCTTCCTTCCTAGTTAATTGTTAGCTATGGTGATTTGTTGTTTGCTCAGTTGATTCTGCTATCAGGTTGAGTTGCAAAACAAATTGTACATACTAGGTCATGTATGGTGTATAGACACTCGTTTTTGGCTCCAACGTTTATGGTACAGGAGCATTATCAGTTGAGAGAAAGGAATGATCCAGATCAGGTTGTCCTATTGCTTCTGAATTCTGATGGACCAGGTGGTGTACTGACTGAATTGCAACATCTTATGCTTGTGCAAATTAGCAGCCAGATTATCTCCTGTACTACTTTTAAGTTTGCCAAATGTAAATTCAGGGGAGCACCTATTTACTGTTATATAAACCTGAAATCTCACCTGGTCTGTCAATCTGTAAATGTTGTTTTTTTTTAGTTTCAATTGACAGTAATTTATTTCGAGTGGCATACTGAAAATGTGTTCCAGAACTTATACATCCCTGCGGAACAGAAAAGCAACAGAAGGTATGCAGAACCAAACACTGAAAAACAAGCATATTACTCCCAGTAGCACAGGCCTGCTGCATATCAGCATCACATATTTTTATCCCATCCTACTGATCTCATGATCTCATCAGGATGTTTTTTTTTTTTACTTATCTTTCATACCTCATAGACCGTGTCCACACCAGCCATGTGTGTGTGTGTGTGTATATTACACACACACACATACATACATACATATATGTGTGTGTTGTGTGTGTATATATATATATAAGCTCGCCGCCGGCGAATCACCGGGAGACACCTGGGATGTTAACCCATTGGAGGTGCAGGATGATCTCGCCGGTATCGGTGTTCCTGAGCTTGAGGACGATGTCCTGGGACACCTTGCCGTCCTTCCATGTGATGTGGCTCTCCGCCGCGAAGCAGTTCTCCTTGTCCGGGTGGATCGTCTTCATCACCGCGCCGTCGCCGAGATGGCTGTGGTCCTGCTTGGCGATCTCGACGAAGTCCAGGATGCCGAACTCCGCGTCGCCCATGCTGTCGTCCTTGGTGAAGGTGTCCTTGTCAAACACTTCCTGCGTGCAGGTTGATGTTTCAGAAGGGACCAGAGGTGGCAACCAAATGCTTAGAAGTAGGCTTATACAAGAATCAGTGCAAATTTCATATATTATTTAACATGAAAACTACCGTTAAATCAAAATAAACGTTTGAGATTTGTCCGCGTTACTCTAAGTAAAACTTTTACTCCCGGATTTAACAACGAGGGAATGTTTTACCGGGAGTAAAAGTTTTACTTAAGATGACGTGAACAAATCTCATATGCCAATTTTTTTTATCCAACGATAGTTTTCAGGTTTACGTTACATTTTGCACTACATATTTTCCCAACTTGTAATGAAACACTTGATATCTTGAAGGAAGAAGCACTGAAGTAGTGACGAACCGAGAACGGAAATTATCAAGGGTCTAATCATACTCCCTCAGTTCTAAATATAAGGCATAACCACACACTTAACCCAACGAGCAAGAAATAATTATTATCAACTTCTAGTTCACGTAATGTAAATAAATATAATGTATGCACCCAATAAATCAAGAGATCTTGAGGGTGAAGGAGAGTAGGTGCTAGCTAGTTACATGCATATACGTATGTTTTATCTTATAAAACAATTTTAAAAAATAGTTTTACGTTATATTATGAAATAGAGAGAGTAATTAAGTATCTAACTTATGAATTGATATACTTAATTAATATAATATACATTATTAAAATTGGATAATTATTTATCTGGGTCCTATGACCTCGAGAAGGATAACGTAGGAACACCACTGGCTGGCTGAAGGTACTAAAATGTGAGTGGAAATGCTGATGAACTTACAATTTTAACAGGCAGCATCATGTTTGTGATTGATAACGTGAGTTCCTCGTTCCATTCTGGGTTGATGGAATGATATCTTATACTTGACTTGACTTTCTGCACATCGCACGAATAGATTAGCAGAAATGTCAACAAAGAAGCATCATTGAGGATAAGGAAGACAAGAATAAGTAGCCTGAATTTACACCATTTCACTATATAAAACGAATTGTCGTAACCAGTAACATCATACAAAACGAACTATTTGAAAAAAAAATTTCTACTTGGTTTTCCTATCAATAATAAGTACTACATCTATCTACGACCTCTCTATCTCTTTACTAATACTCCCTCCGTCCTAAAAAAACTCAAGCTCATACTACGACGTGACACATCCTAGTATAATGAATCTAGACGTACTCTATGTCCAAATTCGTTGTGTCACATCCTAGTACTAGGTTGTCTTTTTTTGGGACGGAGGGAGTATGAGATATTGTAGAGTTTTGCCTGTCTCATCAACCGCTTTTCATTTAAATTTTTTAACATCTTACTCCCAACAAGTCTCTCACGTCCAACCATCCAAACTCCTTTTCTTCTCAATCTGGCTTAGTTCTTTTCAGCAATTCCAAACGACAACTTCATTGTTTTCACGAACACACTACTGAACTTATATAGAAACTTATTTAAAAAATTAAATAAATATATTTTCTAAGTTTATCATACACTAAAGAGCTTTCTCATTTTGCGCGTGGTTGGATATCTCATCCTAGAATCACAAAGGAACGGGACCTTTATCTCTACAAAATAACCTAGAATCCATTTACACGTAACGTAGAATAAAAACAGGGGTGGAGCCACCGCCCGGCTACCCTGGACGGTTGCCCAGGCTCATCAGTGAAAATGCTATTAAATTTGTATGTTGTTGTTGAATAAGTTGATGAAATATTTATAGCAAATACTAGTTACAGTGAAATTTGTTTGGGCTCAAAAATATTTCTGGCTCTGCAACACTGAATAAAGAAAGGAACTTGGAAATTAAATGATGCTCTTCTATATTCGAGGGTCCCTGATTTCTTAATCTGTTTTAGCTTCGCCATTACTCCGAATTAGCTGCTTCAATTCCGCGTTGGCCGGAAATGGTGTGACTGATACAACGATCAGTAAGTACGTACTACTACACGTACATATATACAGGTCGATTGATTACCGGCCTTAATGGAGAGCTTGTGAATCAATCCCATCAGGGCTACGTATACCGCTCGCTCGATCCAAATTAATCGAAACAAAAGCATGCATGTGCGATCAGGATCGATTAAAAACCGAGACGATCGACGACATTACGACAACCAATCAAAAGGTAATTAAGGTGGCACTCGCCTAGAAGAGCATATGCATGAACAAGGAGGATCCAAGGAAGGAAAGGAGAAGATCGATCGATCGATCGATCAGCAAACCTGGGAGCCGTGGCGGAGGACGACGTAGGGGTCGCTGCTGTGGGTGAGCGGGTCGCAGATGGCCAGGTTGAGGCCCCGCATGACGCGCACCTTGAGCAAGCCAAGCAGGCACTCCATCGATCGATCGAACGAGATCGTCTCTCCGGGCTGATCAGCCTCCTCTCGCGGCCGCGCGCGTCGACCTTATTACCGGAGTTAAAGCTGAAGGAAGAGGAGGAGGAGGAGACGACGGGCGACAGAAAGAAACGGCAGGAAGGCAGGCTTAGGCAACGCAAAACTTGGGCGCCGTGGAGGAAGATGGAGAAGCTGGACGCCAACGCCGGGCAGCCAGCCAAAGGCTTTTTATATTTTCATTAACTACACGGATGCATCATGCATATGCATGATATTTCTGAAACCGCTCCAATCCACCTCCACGCGCCGGTAACGCTACCAAATTTAGGTAATACTACTTGTAGGAACGATCTGAGTGCTCAGATTATAAGGGTATATTAGGCCTGGTTCATTTGGCAAAAATTTTTGCTTCTGTGTGTCATATCGGATATACGGACACATATTTGAAGTATTAAACGTAGTCTAATAACAAAACAATAAATTATAGATTCCATCAGTAAACCGCGAGACGAGTTTATTAAGCCTAATTAATCCGTCATTAGTAAATGTTTACTGTACCACAACATTATCAAATCATAGCGTAATTAGGCTTAAAAGATTCGTCTCGCAATTTACACGCAATATGTGTAATTGACTTTTTTTTTGTCTACATTTAATACTCCATGCATGTGTCCAAACATTCGATGTGAAATTTGTTTTAGGAACTAAACAGGGCCTTAGCACTCTCTCCGTCCCAAAAATGAACATTTTTGGACTTCGACACAGTATTCAGGATGCTATTTTGACCAATAATAACTATAAAATAAGATGTTTTAAATAAAAAGAGTTATACATTATGATAGTTTGTTTAATGATAAATTTAGTAACATCAATTTTACATGATTGATCCTTTTTTTCTATTAATAGTTAAAGTTAAAAATATCTGACTGGACACCATACTTAAAAATGCTTATATTATACTCCCTCCGTTTTTTAATAGATGACGCCGTTGACTTTTTCTCACATGTTTGATCATTCGTCTTATTCAAAATTTTATGCAAATGTATAAGATATAAATCACACTTAAAGTACTATGAGTGATAAAACAACTCATAACAAAATAAATTATAATTACGTAAATTTTTTAAATAAGACGAATGGTCAAACATGTGAGAAAAAATAAATGACGTCATCTATTAAAAAACGGAGGTAGTAGGATGGAGGGAGTACTTAGTTACTAACTCTATAGTTAGGGGTAATTTTGAGAATCACCGTCGCTACCCGTTCACCCGGCCATGGCGGCCGCTGTTCCACCCAGTGATCACTGCCCTCGCTCTCGTAGTTCCGTCGCCGTTCTTCCCAGCCATCCTTGCCCAGGTTCGATGCCGTCATATTCGTCCTGCGGCACAAGCTCTAGTAAACCACGATGGCCTAGCTAGATTATGCTAACAGTAAAGAGGATCGTGAAAGACGTTTTTGATGGATTTTGTTCGGCTTTTCATGATTTACCGTGGTAAGCGAAACCTAATTCCCGATATCCGTCCGACTGTTAGCTTTCTGCCATGCTAAGGAGGACATTGACGAAGCGTTCATTTGTCCTCCTCCCTGACGGCGATATCGGCGGCCGGCCGGCCGTGCAGTGCAGGGCAGGGAAGGGCAGGGCGTCTCGTGCGAGCCTGCGTTGCGGCGACTCGTCAAAACATGTCTTCCCTCCGTTTCAAAATGTTTGACACCGTTGACTTTTTAGCACGTGTTTGACCGTTCGTCTTATTTAAAAAAATTTTGTGAAATATGTAAAACTATATGTGTACATGAAAGTATATTTAACAATGAATCAAATGATATGAAAAGAATAAATAATTACTTAAATTTTTTGAATAAGACGAACGGTCAAACACGTACTAAAAAGTCAACGGTGTCAAACATTTTGAAACGGAGGGAGTATAATATAAGGAGTTTTAAATCAAACATGGGTATTTATTAAATATGTTGACAAGACTAAATGGAGAAATATTGTGGTTGATTAAGAAGAAAATGTATAAAGGAAATTTCAATAGTGAAAAGTTATGCCTGGTTAATAAGAGAATGTAGGTGGATGAATTGTTATTTTTTAAAAAATAATTTTTAAAGATTTAAAGTTGTTATATTTTAGAAGGGATGAAGTAAACAACTGCATGCATTTTGTTCCACAGACGACAGGATCACAGGAACATTTCCGTCGGATCAGTGAAATGAAGAATGCGTCAAAAACAATTTAGCGAAAACGGATGGTGGGCCTCGCTGAGCCAAAATCTTAGCCCGGCCTACAGAGGCCAGCAATGTTGGGCCGAGACGCAGAACCGATGATTTTGTTCTCTTCTACTCTTTTTTTATCACTACTATAGAAATGGACATTCAAATCGATACTATAAATACCAAAAATGATATAACATTTATAGTGTTTTTTCCACCCACGCGCTCACCAGCGAGAGAGCCATCACAAAAAACCGGCATCTTTCTCTCCAAATAGATGCCGGTTTTTAAATTGAACTTGCACCTATTTTTCCTGTCAAAGAAAGATGCCGGTTTTAAAATTTAGACTTACAATTTTTTTTGACTTTTGGCTTAGTAACTTTGACTGAGAAGAGACCGAGAGCTTGTTCGGGTGGCAAGCGTCGCCGGTGGGCACGCTGCCCACGAGCATTCGAACCCCAGGTTCGACGCTCGTGCTCGCCCGAGGGATTTTTCCCCTCTTTCCCAGGACTGACTTTGGTTGGTCCTGGCTAGGTAATAGGGTACACACGCGTGCGTGTTCAGTGGGACTGCACGTTTTCCGTGCACTGAGGCCTAGTGCCTCTAATCTCATTCCTAGCGTGTGTTAGGGACGTGCACACGTGTGTGTGCGTGTGTCGTGGTGAGTGTGGTGTGTGTAAGTGTGCGTTATGAGTTGTACCCTTCTAAAAAAACTTTCACTGATGATATACATGCAAATTTCAGATTTAGGAATGGCTTTGGACTTAGTTATTTTACACTAAGGAAGGTTTAGACTTATAATTTTTGACTGAGGCATTTACTCTTTTTTTTTTTACATTTCTATGTGTTGATATATATGTGAACGTGGATGTGGATGGGGTTGTGGATTTGATGAAAAATTCAGATGTGGCTACGAATGTGAATGAATTTGTGTGAATGTGAATGAATGTGGCTGTATACTAATGAATGGATGTGATTTGAGACAAATTATGTTACATGTGATTTGTATATGAAATTGGAAGGTCCTGCTATTTTTATTTTTTTATTGTCAACATAAGGGTGCCGGTCTACTTGCCACATGTCCAGTTCAGTCAAAAACTGGCACCTATATGCTATTTATAGGTGCTGGTTTTCGTAAGAACTGGCACCTACACTACACCAGTTGCGGTTTTGGTCAACAGCTAAAATGATCTACACTCACGTCTAAAGAACTGCAGATATGCAATAGTCTTGTCGTGGGTGATTACATATGGATACCGGTTCTTGGATGAAAACTGGCACCTATATATTTTTAGTCATCAGTGTCGGCTATTAGATGCTGGTTTGATAAATCTGGCATATAAGAATTTTCTCAACTGCCACCAATGAGGGTTCTTTTAGTAATGTATACTCATTTTAGTTGAGTTTAGTCCCACGTTGGTAATTGATGATGGGGGAGCACGACTTAAAAAAGTGGATGCCGTCCTTACCTATCAGACTATTCTTTTGGTTTGTGTAGGCCCGGAATCTAAAGTTGTGGGTCCGGTTGGGCCTGTGGTGGAGCAGGCCCAATGTGACCTGGGTGACCCACAGTTGGTGGGCTGGGCTGCGTACTCTAACAAGTGGTATCAGTTCCCAAGGTTTGGAACCCGAAACAATTTTTATGGGTCACATGGTGGGAAGGCCGGGTAACAAGTCTTCGGGGTCACATGGGTTGATGTGACGGGGGAGATTATTGGGTTTAGTCCCACATCGGTAATTGATGATGGATGAGCACGACTTAAAAGGTGGGGGTAGTCCTCACCCATCAGACTGTTTTTTGGGTTATGTAGGCTTAGGACCTTAAGTTGTGGCTCTGGTTTGGCCTATGGGGGAGAATGCCCAATGTGACCTGGATGGCCCACGGTTCGTGGGCCGGGCTGCACACTTTAACAAGTTTCCTCTTAATCATGTAGCAATGTAAATTATCATTTTTCATAAATGAGATGGAAGGTAGAGTTGGCTCTACCTTCTTATGTGTGAAAAAAAAATATTTCAGGTCTTTTCTCATTGTTTGCTTGTTAGTTTATCAACCACAGTAAAAACTTAAATTTTGGAGTTCTTTCATCGTAATCTATTTTACAGCATTAACTTCCCATAACTTTTTTTTTCAATAGTTTTCTACAGCTTTTCAACCATAAACCATTAGAGTTGGCCATTCTCAACTCTCATAAAATTTTGGTATCAGAGTTGTGTGCAATTAAAGGTGGATGAATTCAATTTAGCTGATCGATCGACCGCGCCTTCATACTCTCAGACACGGCTCTGCTTTGAGAAAGCGGAGCTAACACTTTCACGTGGCTAGCTAGCTAGCTTACAGTACACCATGCAGCCTGGAAAATATTAGCACATCAAGTTACCCCATATATCTTGGACGATATGCAAGTGTCGGACGGAAAGCACCATCACGCAAACAAGCTGGAGTAAGAAACGAACCGGTGCTATTCCCCTTCAGTCTTGACGTTCAATTAGCAGACATGCTGTGTTCGATTACAGAGGTTGGGAACACATGCTCTGTACACGAAAAACGGAGTGGTCTATTAGTACGTGATTAATTAAGTATTAGCTAATTTTTTTTTCAAAAATAGATTAATATGATTTTCTTCAAGCAACTTTCGTATATAAACTTTTTTTAAAAAAAAACACCGTTTAGCAATTTAAAAAACGTGCGCGCGGAATACGAGGGAGAGGGGTTGGGAACCCAGTGATCTAAACACAGCACACAAGCATCAATCCTTGCCTGAACTAGGACTCAAAGCAAACATTTATGTAGCTATAGCTAGCTACTAGCTACTATGGATCAAACGTTAACGTGTGTTGTCTCTCTCTATATATACACATATGTTTATATGCATGCTTGTGATATCCGGCCATTGCTGCAAGAAGACTACGAGCAAGCAGTATAGCTAGCTAGGAAGCTAGCGTCGTTGTTGCCCGGCCGGCGCCGGAGAAGAAGGAGAAGGAGAAGGCGGAGGTAGGTCGAGATCAATGGCGGAGGCGATCGTGGGGCCGCTGGTGGGGAGGCTGCAGGAGCTGGCGCTGGGGCAGGCGCGGGCGCTGGTGGGGGTGAACGCCGACATCCAGAAGCTCAAGGACAAGCTCATGTGGCTGCAGGCCTTCCTCCGGGAGGCCGACGCCAAGCGCCGCGCCGTCTCCGACGAGGTCACCAAGGTGTGGGTGCTGCAGACGCGGGACGCCGTCTTCGACGCCGAGGACGCGCTCGACCATTACTATCTCCAGTTGGACAAGTCCAGGTATGTCACATTATTAGTACTACTGTATACTACCTCTATTTTTTTAAGTAACATTTGATTATTTGTTTTACTAAAATCTTTTAGTATGAATATGTAAAAGTATAAGTTATTAAGGTTATAGTTTTTCAATGATAAAATAAGTCACAAGACAACAAAGTAAATAACATTTATATTCTTTTTAAAAAAGACGAATAGTCGTACGTTACATGAATACATTAAAAACCAGAGAGCGTTTCAAAATACTAATAACGTTCTAGTTTTATCATAAGTCAAACATTTTCATCTTTATAATTGTTAATTTTTAAAATTTCATATAGTTTAACAATGTTTGAGTTATATATTATGGAAGTATTTCCTATAGTGAATTAAAAATATAAATCTTATGATGTTAAACTATATGAATTTATCAAAATTGATGGCTAAAAAAATGAAATGATGGACTTAGCACTACTTAAAAAACTATTTTCCTGTAAGAGATCTTATGATTTTTACAAACGGACCGCGTAAGTTGCCGTGTCTGGAAAAATCGAGCGGTATTTTCGCATATGGCTCCTTAAGACGGCCGTATGGAAAAATCGATTTTTTTCCATGCGGGCTCTTAAGAGATCTGCATGCAAAAAATAAACTCATTTTGTGAAAATAAAATTTGAAACTAGTTTATCTCACTCATTTGAATTCCGAATTGGATGATTCATTTTCCTAAATGTTACTAAAATCATGCTCTATCATATTATCGTGTTCTTACTGCTATTATTTTGGCCTTTTTTTTATTGTGACTTTGTTTTATCAATTAAAAATTTGAATTTTAAAACTTCAAAAAATATTTTGAAGTAGTAAATAATTTCAGGTGAAAAAAATCATGAACATAAAATTGTAGAACTCATCAAGACGTACAACTTTTATTTTGATCATTTCTTCATCCAACAATGTGATTATAACATTGTTCACAAAATTTACATATCTTATCTCTTATAGTTTATAAAACCAAATGAGAGATATGTAAATTTTGTGAACAATGTTACTATCACTTTGTCGGATGAAGAAATGACTGAAATAAAAGGTATAGATCTTGATGAGTTATACAACTTTGTTGTTGATGACTTTTTCAGTTGAAATCATTTAGTATTTAAAAATTTTGTTTGAAGTTATCATATTTTCAAATTCAAATTCAAACTATTCGAACAAAGTCATACAGAAAAATGACCAAAACAAAAGTTGTAGATCTTGATAAGTTATACAACTTTGTTGTTGACAATTTTTCTATTTGAAATCATTTACTACCCGAAAAATTATTTGAATTTCTTATGTTTTAAAATTCAAATTTTATATAGTTCAATCAAACTTGGATGAAGAAATAACCAAAAGCAAATTGGTAGATCTCAATGAGTTCTACAACTTTGTTTTTGATAACTTTTTTCACATGAGTTCATTTATTATTATAAAATTCGATTCAAACTTTAAAAAGCCACATGATTTTTGCATGCGGATGGATAAGTGATCTGCACTGCATGCAAAAATATCACCCATATTTTTTTCATGAGAGAATCCACTCAATACCACTGAGTTTATCGCACTTCTACAATCTACCACTCACTTTGTCAAGTTCAATAATATACCATCGTGTTTTCTTTACCTCTATTGTGTGCCCTCGCCGTCCATGAGCTGTTAGCTGACATCCTTTTGCTGTATTGAATTTTATCTTAATGACTAAAATACCCTTTGACTAAAACCACCAGTACCCACCAGCTTCAATGTGCACTAGTAGTTTGAACGGATCATGGTGAGGACAACGATGCTGCCGAGGAAACCCCCCGCAATGGAGAATGTGGGCGTCGACTTCCCGACGGATGTTCTGGTGGTCATCCTATCGCAGCTCCCGACGAGCTCCTTGTGACGGTGCCGGCTCGTGTGCCGGCGGTGGCGCGACACCGTCGACAAGCGCACGCTGGAGCGTGACGTCCGGACCAAGATGCTCACCTTCGTCAAGGGCCTCGACAATGAGGCGTCCGCCTACATCGTCGACGAGGCACGAGGCCGTCACAGGTGCGTGTGGACCAGCTCCTGCTCCGTCGACATGATCGGCACCCGCAACGGCCTCATCTGCGTCCTGGACGGCGACACGGGCGCCGTCACGGTGGCCAACCCAGCGACGCGCGTCGCAGTCCATGCCGCCGCCGCCGTGACAGGCGTGGCTCTTGCCGTGCTCCCCAGACGCGTGCACGTCCCGTGCTACTTCAACAAGTCTGGCACGTTCGATGCCATGTAGGTGTACGCCCTCGGCGGCAGCGCACCGCTGTCATGGCAGAGTGTGCCTACCGTAGGTGCCAGCGGCCGTTTCCAGCCGGGAGGGGTCGCCTGCGTCGATGGCGTGGCGTACTGGATCACCGCCGGAATGCAGCTGGTTGTGGCCAGGTCGTCACTGGGTACTGAGTGGAGACGGGTGGCCGGCGCATCAATGGGGATTCCGGCGACCGGTGGCGCGTCGATTGGGATTCTAGAGACCGGCGGGCGGCGGCACGTCGATTTGGAGTTGGGCGGTCGACAGCGCGTCGTTGGGGAGTCGGGCTGCCGGTGGCGCGATTGGGAGTCGGCGCCGCCTCGCTGGGAAGAGAGGAAGAGAATGATTTAGGGGAGAGATTGATTTGCTAGGGTTTTCACTTTTCAGTCAACAAGGATGAATAAATTAGCCAAAGGGTATTTTAGTCATTAAGAGAAAATTCAATACAGCAAACGGATGCCAACTAACGGCGCATGGACGGCGAGGGCACACAAGAGAGGTTAAAGAAAATACGATGGTATATTATTGAACTTGACAAAGTGAGTGGTAGATTGTAGAAGTACGATAAACTTAGTGGTACTGAGTGGATTCTCTCTTTTTTCATCTCCCTCCACTGTCTTAATAGTACGACATTCCTAAACTCAAATGTAAATAGGAGGAGAATTATACCAATAGGAATGTCTTCTTTCCATCTTTCTTTCATTGTCTTAAGGGATGCCAATGCCGAAACCGTTTCACCATATATTCTTTAGATGATTGATGCGGTTACTTGTAGCTTCAAATGGCCTCGCACGGTCCATCATGACAAAGCCTTCACTCGCCCTTGATCACCGGATTTGGTTCTTCGGTGCCAAGCCCCTTGCTTGCCCTTGACCGCCGCATGGTCCATCGTAACCAAGCATCGCTTGCCCTTCACCGTCTTGCCATAGTAGCCACTTCGTATCCCATATCTTCAATATCTTCACTTTGTCATCATTGGCATCTTTAGGTGTAATGAGATCACTTGAGCAACAATACCTTTGCAATCCTTGGGACCTATTTCTCTCATTCAACTCAATAAAATTATTATATGAATAAATAATGAGTACTAATCAACACCACAAGTGTCATATACTCGAATGTATACTCAAATGTAAAGATCCCAATTAAATAAAAGTGAATCACTTGGATCAAGTACATGCATAACTAAGGTATAGTATTTACTCCCCCTAAATGTATGCATACGAAATATTTGTGTGAAGCAAGAGTATGTATAACAAGATATGAAACATTGAGAGCTTATCCTATACAAGAATAGAAGACATTTATCAAATATAGACATTAAAATAAAAACATACCTTCATCATCTCCATGTTCTCAATGTAAAGAGACTAAACAAGATATGGCTCAAACAAAACATTAGTCTCACATGCTTATGTAATCACATGAAAATATCAATATGTGAACAGAGAGAAAGAGTGATACATGGCTTGATCTCTATTCATTTCATCTTTGTGATTTAGGTCCACCATCAATGAACGTTTCTATCTCAACTTATATGATGTCTGGGAATCACTTCTCACATATTCCGTTTTCATATCCATATGAGACTAGTAGACAAAGAAATGCTTATAATTAACAATATTAGTCTCATGTAATTGGATTTATCATTAATCACCAAAACCAAATTAATGGCACATAAACTTTCACAAACTCCAATTGTACTAAATTTGGACTCCCTCCAAATTTAAACTTCTCATCCTATACGCATACAATATCTCCATCGTATGCCATATGGAATCTCCAACAACCACATGCATTGATCTTTAGCCTAAGCATCCTGCAAGATACTCCGATTGTCAGGACATCATCTTCTCCCAAGTTAACTCCTGATCCATCTCCGGTAACTCTCTCTCTCGAGGCGTCAAGACTCACCTACACATGAATCTAACACAAAACCATATCCGAATACAAGTTCTCTCCAACTTGACTCAACATTAGCATACAACAGTATTACATATGCATAGAAATCATCTAGAAGTCATAAACATGAATTATCCACGAGTATCCAAATAAATAACCCGAAACCGAAACCGATACAGAGTTGGTCAGTCAAACCGCGGGCTGACCAGTCTGACCGCGCACATAACATCGGTCTGACCGGTCCCGTCAGACAAAAATCCCTGTTTACCACTTGAAAACATTGTTCACAATCATCCCAGTCTGACCGGTGCCAAAACCACTTCCTCAATAATCTCCATATATCAAAACAAATAATCTCAGATGTCAATTGTTCATCAGGAAATAAGAATCAAACACACTTTGATTTTACACTTGCAACCACAAAGTTTAGCCAATAAGTAGATGTGAGTCTCAAAAGTTTAATGAAACATTCATATCTTAATTAGGGTAAACTTTGGCAACAAAATCAGCCATCCTTTGTTTTACCAATAAGTTCCATAGAATATTTTTCCTTAAGTTTTAGTACAACTATAGTTTAGTTTAGCTTTGTATGTATTTATATGATACTTATACATATGCTTTTGGTCTATCTAGATTATAAATTTTTTTATTTTAGCAACTATTACTTAGTGGGGATTTGCGTCGAAAGTAGAGATCAATTGTCAGTACTGGTCTAATGGTCTAAAAAAAGGATCAACCACTTGATTAATAGATGATCTAATAATGAATAATGCTTCTATGCTTCAACAAAGTTGAATATATGGTCTTGTTTTGAGATATCTGCTCTTGATGGTCTAGTTTTAAAAAAAAATTGCTCTAATAGTTTTATGTACATGTATTCAGGTACCCATTGTGGATTCGTCCCACCGCAAAACTTGTCACGACCTTTACAACACAGGCACACATTCGACACAAGCTGTCTAGGAAAATAAAAGCAATCAATTCAAGGCTTGAGGACATCATTGAAAACAAACATAAATACAAGATCGAGGAGGCAAACACGAAGACAACTAGGACATGGAAAGCTTCTACATCAATATCTTACACCCATAAAAAATTGTAAGTAGACAGAAGTACCTTTTGCAATATTTATCTACATGTATTAGATCTCTAGTATTATTTGGATTTGGTTCTTTGATTATTCTTCTGTAGAAATAAAGGCTTAGCTATTCCAACTTCAAGTTTCAAAATTGTGGAACTTTATCTTTTAGTTACATTAAAATCAGAAACATGGAGTTCAATAGAAAACACTTGAATTCCAAGATTAAGTTTGAGAATAAAAAAAAATCAAATTATTGGACTTCAAATATAAATATTTTAAATCTCATTTAGCAAATGGTATTCCTGTGTTGGTGCTTTTTCTGACCAACATGGGTTCACCTAAAAATTTACGGTGTTAACAGGGTCGCCAGCCACCTCGGAGTAGAAAAGCTCTTAACAAAGATGGGTTTAGAAAAGAATAAAACTAACTAGCGGAACTGATTCAGAGATCAAACCAACGTCTAGGCTGATTTAGATCGATTTGAAAATAACAACCAGTCTCATGGGTGAAACGGAAGGTTTACGAGGCAAACCTTCAAAGGGTATTGCACTCTCGCAGCGAAGGCGGATGATATATGGCGCAAATCGACAAAGATGGATGAAACTATAGGATAAAGTAAAAATACATGGCTGAGAAGTAAATGTAAAAGAACGATTCGATGGATGGTGGTCAGGGGTTTAGAATCGAACCATCCATTGCCCTTATGAAGAGGTTGGTCTTGTCTCCGTAGGGCCTTCTCCACATCCTATTAGGCTTAGAGAATAATTTGGACTATAGAAACCTTGGAACAAAATAAGGAAACTAATAACCCACAAATTGGGCTCGAAGTCGAATCTGCTGGTATGACCGGCCACATACCGTCGGTCAAATTGGGCCCACACCATCGGTCTAATCAACCCTATGGCAGGGCTCAAACCAGCTTCATATGGCAAACCGGGTCTTTTCTATATATGGCTGTGTTTTCTTATTTTCAATGTTTGGTGTCTAATTTAGGTGTTAACACTTTTATAGGGAGTTTTTCGTAATGTAGGAATAAATCTAAACCCCACTATCAAGTTTATCTAGAAGCACTACTCAACTTATATAGTGGACATAATTAACACTTCATCTTTTGAAACCATTCATTTCTACAGTTACATCTCACTAATCACCTAAAGCTTAACATATAAGCATAGTAATTATTAACCTAACCTAAAGCTTAACTTACAAATATACCACATCAACCTACTAAGCACATGTAACTCAACATGCAACCATAGCAATTAATTATTAATATGTCCTAAACTTAATATACAAGTAGACCATATCATAATATTTCAATCAAAATCCACCCACCATTTCTACTATATTCAACATATATTCCTCCATATGTCCCGCTGCAAAGCATGGTGCGTCATCAAAACCCAAACCGTGGTTTTTCTCTATGGGGTGCTGACAATTTAGTTAAGAAAAATATTTTGTCGTATCTATATTTTTAGATATACATCTAATTTCTAATCTAATTATTGCTCTATTAAATGATTAAACCAACAATTCATGATCCATAATGCCTATATTTTAAACTAAAATAAGACTTGTATAAAATAAAATAGAAAAGTATAAAAAATATCAATAGGGATTGAATTAAATTAATTAGAGAGACTCTAATAAATTTGTAAAAAATAGTTATTACTTTTCAAAAATTGGAACAACCATTGTATGTTCCATTGCCATAACCATGTTTAAGTGCTTAGATATTAATGGTCTTCCATCTATCCTATACCCTGGAATTATGAGTTTCTCCAATTATTGCATATATAAGATATACTAAGGTAGCAAGATGTAGAAGTACGTAGTTGGTTAAAAAGTTATATATATGCTACTATTAACATTATATTTAGAACTCATGTTGACTAGGTATATTTTAAAAAAATAAATTATAAATCACATATATAACAGTGAAACGAGGTGTACAATATATATCTCCTATGTATTTATTGAAACACTCTTTCTAGAAAATAAAGAAGATTATTGATAATTGCTTATAGTAATGAATTAAATATTATATAGTTCAAAACTTACAAATATCTTGTAAAAAAATTATCTAAGCAATGTCCACGAAGAAAATTTTCAAAGAAATAGTACTTTTCAAACATAGCAGGTGTCATCTCATTGATATTCCACCTTACAAGTTACTCAAGCGTAACTTACATTACATTCTCGTGCGAATGCGTGGGCTACCTTCCTAGTTGTTTACATGGCCAACAGGTTAGCCCAATTTTCCAAGCCAACCAACAATACCCTTATGTGTTTGTTTTCAAGCTAACTTCTTAAAAAAAAGATTGGCTGAATTCGTTATTAGGCCAATTCCGTCCTAGTTTGCATGACCTGGTAAAATCACACTAGGTTGTTAGCTAGTCTAGTTTTCATTCCTTTTTTAGGGGTGGGAGAGGGGGGGGGTTGATTGGGGTAGAAATTAAACCCATTTTCATACTTAGGCTATGTTCGTAACTTGGGGTTGGGAACCCATCTCCTCCACATGGAAAAGGAAGCAGTCCATTAGCACATGATTAATTAAGTATTAGCTAATTTTTTTTACAAATGAATTAATTTGATTTTTTAAGCAACTTTCGTATTGAAACTTTTTGCAAAAAACAAACCGTTTAGTAGTTTGAAAAGCGTACGCGCGAAAAACGAGGGAGAGGGGTTGGGAACCCAGAGCACCGAACACAGCCTTAGGGGTAAACAAAACACCTACTATAATACATCAAGTGGTTGTAGACTTTTTCCTTTAAGGAACCCACGAGGCTCTACACCTAATAGTTTCATGTTTTCAGATCTCTTTGAAATATTTGAAAGGTACAAAGAGATACTGCTACTTACAAGTCAGAAGGCAAAGAAAAAAATTAACTCTTTTAGTGAACTACATTTGTGGCACAACTAGGATATAGTTATCACTTATTAAAATTATACGTACTATTACTGATAATAACGGTATACTTATGATTTGACCACAGGGAATATTTGCATGAGTCAGACGTGCCGATTCATGTGGAAGAGCGAAAAAAACTAGAGAAAGTCCTTCTTACTACACCTGAAGATCTACATGGCAAAGAACACAATCCAGTCATAATCTCTGTGTTTGGAAAAAGTGGTGTTGGCAAGACAACTCTTGTGAGAAAAATATTTAAAGAAATAGGTAAGCAGAAGCAGTTCGACATTCCAGCCATGGAGTGTTTTGCACCTTACCTATCCGCTACCAATATCTTACAACAAATTGTTCAACAACTAACAACAGACAACCAGGATTGCCCTAGAAATAAGGTCCTCGAAATTTTAGAAAAGAAATTAAAAGAAAAAAAGTATTTGTTGGTGATAGATGGTGAAGTTAGTGGTACTGAACTGAACAACATTTTGAGTACACTCCCGATTGGTCATGCGGGTAGTAGAATAGTTCATATCACAGAAAGTAAGCCAGAGGAGCCACCTAGCAACTATCATCATGTCACCATTGAGTTGAAAACAATTGACAAAAGTATATCCAAGAAGATGTTCCTACACCATATGGAAGTACAAAATCTAGACCTTGAAAACCATGAGGATGATATTATTTTTCAGATTACTGGAGGGTTACCACTTGCAATTGCTCTTTTATCAGGTCTTATGAAAACCAAGGAGTCCACTGGTGAGTGGCAGAAGGTATTCGAATATCTTAAGTCCAAGCAATCAAAACAAATTGATGATATGCTCTCAATTTGCTTTGATGATCTTCCACATGAGCTGAAATGTTGCTTCCTGTATCTTGCTGCATTTCCAGCCAATGTTACCATTGAGGCACGCAACCTAGTGTCTATGTGGGTAGCTGAGGGATTTCTAAGGTCAAAAGTTGGCAAGTCAATGGAGGACATTGGCTACTTCTACTTGAAAGAGTTGTCGGCTAGGAATCTAGTCAGTCTGGTTCAAATGGACGATGATTCCAATGTTAGCAATATGACTGTTACCATCCAAAACAAAGTCCATGAATTTTTGCAGTTTGAAGCACATGAGGCAAGCTTCCTAGAGGTACATAGTGGTGATGATATCCCCACATTGACAAGTGCTCGTCGTCTCTCCTTGCAGAATTACACTGATAAATATGCTGTTCTAGCAAATCCATTGCCGAAGCTACGATCCATCTTCTCCCAGTTTGAGCAAGAGCCTAAAGAGGAATTGGAGACCATGACAAAAAGCATCCAAGCATATGTATGTTGTTCCCCTCAACAAGGTACTATAGCTTCTATGCAGAAGAAGAATATCAAATCTCACATAAAAGAACTATTGCATGGATCTGAGTTCCTCCGTGTTATCAATATACAAGGCATTGAGATAGGTAACAGGTTGACACGTGCAATAGGCAAAGCCGTTCACCTCCAATACCTTGGAATCACTTCTTGCTCACTTGAAAACATCCCATCATCCATAGGAAATCTTACAAGCCTTCAAACATTGGATGTAAGGGAAACTAAAGTCCGGAAGCTCCCAAAGGCATTTTGGATGATCAAGACACTAAGGCATGTGTTTGGTTTTATCCTCAAATTACCCAAGCAAACTGTCAATTTGAAGCAGCTACATACACTTGATTCCATAGAACTTGAAGATTTTGAGCAAGGCTTGGATAATACACTTGGAGAGATGATCCATCTTGAGGGCTTAGTTATTTGGAAAATCTCAAATGGTAATGTCAAAGCTCTGTTAAGTGCTCTAAGAAAGCTTGAGAGCCTTAAGACTCTAAACTTACAAGGTAACAATATTACATCAAGTGTATTCACCACCTTGTTCTTGCGTCGCCTCAAGTTTATGGTTCTAGACGGGGAGTTGGACTTTTCATCTGATCAACTGAATAATGGGTTAGCCCTCCCTAATCTGACTATGCTTACATTGAAGGAAACAAAAGTAACTCAGGAGTTTATTAACAAGCTAGCAAAGCTTCCCTCTCTTGTCACACTTGCGTTGTGTCTAGGATCCTACAAGGATCAGGAACTTGTCTTCTTTTCTAATAAATTTCGATGTCTACAGAAGCTCAAGGTTGACGTGGAGAAATTGAAGAAAGTAGAAATAAAGTTGAGTATGCTTCCCAAACTCAAAAAATTAGAAATCCAGACACATGACAGTCATCACTATCAAGAGCATGAAGTAACTCATCAGGAACACGAACAGAAGACAGTGATCTCTTGGAAAAAGGAAAATGCTATTCAAGTTGAATGATGAAGCCCCTCTGATGAGATGTCACTTCTCCCACTATGCATGGCTAGACTCCGTTATCTGTTATGACATGCTTGTTCTTTCTTGTGTTTCCGCCTATACCTCTCTAATTAATATATCCATAGTGTTGTCTATGTATGGATTGATTATAATATTTGTCTAACCCAGGTGCGGTCAGTGTTGTCGTGTGTATATATAGTAAGCTTGTGTAATAATGTGGTAAAAACTGTGATGATTACTCTGCCTCAAGTTCATGCATAATTATACTTAGCTAATGTGGGTTACTAAAACAACAATTGAAAGTTGTACGGCTAGTCCCTTAAGCATACCAAGAATGTAAAAATGCCATGTGTGTTCTTTTAGCTGAGCGAGCGTGAACAACGGCGTCGTCAAGCATTGGCTTTGCTTCTCTTTACTATGCGCTACCCAAAATTTGGTCATGTAGAGACATAAAAATTAAAAACAAAATACTCCTTTTCTCCTCAAAACAGAGAGAAAAGATGTATAGTATTTCTAATGCTTCTAACATCAAATTTATAGTATTGGCCCAAATGCCCATGCTGCAAGCGCAACGACAAACACACCCATCAATGCTTAGTCTGATGAGTTAAGTCTAGCGGCACCGCCTCACACCCTAGCCCGCACCATATCTACATGACGACAATCAGCAAAACGCCTCAACAATGGAGGGCAGATCTCATCCAATTGATCTCGTTCATTTGTGCTGCACTGCAGGATGGATGCACGAATGCACGTGATCGATTGGTCAAGGTGCCATCAAGGAGATGGGGGCAAGCATACGTGACATGACCCGACGACGTACGACAGTCGGCTGGTTCACTAAGAGAGGCTATCTGCAATGATGCCAAGCGTAAGCGGACAAAATGGAACCAGATTTAAAACTATTTTATCACAAAACTACAGATTTTATAACTTTAAATAGATAATAGTACTATGATCTAACTCTAGAATATATAGTTCTTTGATAACTTCATCATTAAATCTGTATTGTTGTGATACATATTTTTAAATCTGTAGTTTTATGATCATTTGAGCCAAGTATCTATATTTTGTGAAATTTACTCTTTTATCTACGTACAATCATCATTGGTATACAATAGATTTACATTTAGATTGATATATAAAGCCTTATCATTTAACAAAATAGTCCTGTAATAAATAAATGTATTATCAGTCTCTTCAGCACCTGCATGGAGGACAAGTTGATTCTGCCTTCAGCACAGCACCCGTAGAGCAGCTGACGAAACGGAATATTTGTTGGTCCCACTTGGCATTGGGCCACCCATGCCCACAAATCCATGACGCTGGGCCTTCCCCATTCCTCGTGGGCCCAAGCACAGAGCAGTTTGGGCCTTACAAGCAGGCCCGCCACAAACTTTCGTTTTTGGCCTGCCTAACTTAGCAGTAGTAGGTCCCCCTGACACGACGAGCTGACGTCTCGGTGCACCTGATCGTGTTGCCGCCGCAGCCGTCGCGTTGCCATGACACAGCGTGCGGTGGCGGCCATGGAGATGGAGCTCCTCCGCCTGCAGGCAGCTGCTCGCCGGCGAGATGAACTGCGCGACGCGGTCCATGAGCTCCACGGCGCTGGGGCGCGCCGGCCGGTACAGGTGGAAGCAGTGGTCCTCGCCCTCCGACTCCACCAGCGTCACCTCGCGCCCGCCGCCGCGAAGCTGGGCGGCGTACCGGCGGCCGCGCTCACTCAGGACGTCCTTCTCGGCGACGGCGACCAGCGCGCGGCGGCATGGAAGCGACGACACGTCCTCGGCGGGGGGGTCGATCCGCGGGTCGTCGTTGCCGGCGGCGCCGCCCGTCACGTACGGCCAGAGCGCGTCCAGCCTGCCCGGCGCGAGCATCGGCGGCTCATCGTCGCGCCAGCCGGCCGCCGCCGCCTCCTCCGACGGCAGCCACCGCGCGCCCCAGAAGCATGGCTGCAGCAGCGCCACGCCCTCGATGTCGACGTCGTCGCCGTCGGGGCCGGCGGCCCGCGCGGCCACGTTGTGCGCGATGGTGGCGCCGGCGCTCTCGCCGGCGAGGAACAGCCGCGTGGGGTCCGCGTAGCGCGCCACCCAGGGGTCGGCGAGCGACGCCGCCCACCGGAGCGCGGCCCACCCGTCGGCGAACGCCGCGGGCAAGGGGTGCTCCGGCGCGAGGCGGTACTCCACGGAGACGACGAGCGCCCCGGCGCGCGCCGCCAGCGACGCCGCGTACCGGTGGAACAGCCGCCCGAACGCGCTCCCCGTGACGAAGGCGCCGCCGTGGAAGTATAGAACCAACGGAAGCCTCCTCCCTTCGCCGCCGCCGCCGGGAAGGAACAGACGCGCCGACGCGCCGGTATCCTCGTCGACGACCACGTCCCTCGTCGCGACGCCGTCCCTAGTAGCCGGCCGCACCGCCGCCGACGTCGCCGTGCCGTCGTCGTGGGACGCCGCCACGGCGGCGGTGCTGCGCACGAGCCGCTCAATGTGGCCGCCCTCGTACACGCGCAGGAACGGGTAGAGGTCGACGGCGACACGGCCGCCGCCGCCGCCGCCAATGGCCGGAGATGATCTAGGCGCCATGCATGCACGTTACGTCGCACGAATATGCTTGCGAAAGCTGCATGCAAAGTGTGCTACTTATACTGTGCTGCGGTGGTGGGCTTACCGGGTCGTCTAAATGTTCAACGAGTCATGCGTGCCAATGTGCGCGTCAGCCGTGGCGCACACAGTCGGGGGCTCAAATCACATACTTTCTTGCCTACAAAATTTCGAGAAGTTTTTTGAGGGGAAAATCTCGAGAAGTTCAAAGCAGCCATCGGTTGCAAACAAGATAGCAGCAGAGAGTTTGGAATTTGATGAGTATCAACACTTCACGAGCGTAGAATTCTAAACGCATGCATGCATACCGTCAATTTTACGAACAAAAAAGGTTAAAAAGAATGTCGCAGCTTGGGCCTAAAAGTTATTTTCTATCCAAACCATCGAGCGATATGCATGCATCCTTTTCTGCAGGAACATGCGTGTACAAGTTACAAGCAAAGGAATTTACAAGTTAATTTTAGCCTGTGAAAGAAGGGCCGACTGATTTCAAAAAGAGGGGTAAAAACAAAAGCGATTGAACAAGCTTTCAAAGTGTCAATTTCCATCAAATGTGGATATATTATGAGAGATAGAGTTATTGCCCGAATCCATGGGGATATGAGTATATGACCTAATCTTGACATGTCTTCTAATTTAAGTTATCTATAAGCTCACTACATATTATCATGAGGTAAAATAATATACTTTTCCCCCATCTTGTTATATACCTTTCTCTTCTTCATTTACTCTCTTCTCTGTTCCATAAAAGCATAGTATTCTTCTCTGTTTTCCCCTGTTCTCTCCTCCTATGTATATATGCATAGACACAAATATGGCATGACATAAACAAAAGCTATAAGCGATTTACACGGCATCATGAAATGATAAGAATATACAATGCACTACTGCACCAGAAACGCCCTTGTTGATGATTCTTTATTGCGACAGCATATAGGGCTCCTAGAATAATGCGATATATATCTCGCACCAGGTAAATCCTTAACCCTTCCTCCTCTTACTAATACTACGTAATGTTCTTGTAAACTATCGACAATACCAGGTATATAAGCAGTGATTTTAAACCTAGAAGTTAATCGTACTCTAGCAACTTTACGTAAGAGCATGTACAAATATAAAGTTCAATATTGGTTTGTTAGTTAATATATATCACTTAGAAACCATCCTCATACAATAGTGAGACAATAAGATCTCTTAACTATTATTACACCAAAATATTTTTTTTACCCTTATTTCCTTTTCTTCTTCCCCTGCAACAATTTTTTTTTAATAAATGTTAAGAGTCGACTCTGAACCGTTGCATAGAAACGACGGTTCCCTTTTCACCCCCCCCCCAACTACTAGAAAAAGTATTTTCGCAGGCGGACAAAAGTGATTTTTGCAGGCGGAGGGTTGGACCGCTTGTAGCACAACGACGGTGAAAATCAACGATTTTCGCAGTCGGGGCAACAGCCCGCCTGCAAAAATCCATGAAACGAACAAAAAAAAATCACGGCGGCGGCTCACTGACACCGCCATGCGCCTCACCGCCGCTGCCCTCCGCCGGCCGGATCTGGGAGGGGAGGGGAGGGGAGCCGGCGCCCCGTAGTCGCTGCCGCCGGCCTCCCCCTCCCTCCTCCGGCCGGATCTGGGAGGAGGGAGGGGAGCCGCCGCCGCCGCCCCGCGCGTCGTCGTCGCCGCCGCCCCGACCCGTCGTCGTCGTCGCCGCCTCCGCCGGCCTCCCCGCTCCCTCCTCCGGCCAGATCTGGGAGGGAGGGGGAGGGGAGCCGCCGCCGCAGCTCCGCGTGTCGTCGTCGCCGCTGCCGCCGGCCTCCCCCCTCCCTCCTCCGGCCAGATCTGGGAGGGAGGGGGAGGGGAGCCGCCGCCGCCACCCCGACCCGTCGTCGTCGACACCGTCGCCGCCCTCGCCTGCCTCCTCCCTCCCTCCTCCGGTCAGCCGTACGCCACGCCGCCAGCCGGACACCGCGCCGCCCCGCCGCCTTCCACGCCACCCCGCGCCGTGGCCGCCGTCGCTCCCCCTCCGACGGCCGGGGAGAGGAGGAAGGGTGAGGGGAGGGGAGAGGAGGCGGCGTGAGGGGAGAGGAGGAGGCGTGAGGTGTGGGAAGAGAGGCCGGCCGTGGGTGGAGACTGGAGACTTAGAAAAAATCAACACTTCCCCAAGTCTATTTATAGTGAAGTCTATTTTCGCAAGCGGACCACTGCGAAAATAGATTTTCGCAGACGGACCGACCATTTCACCCCGATTTATATTTTTGTAGACGGTCATTTGGCTTTAAGAGTCATGTCCGCCTGCGAAAATGAGACCCCTACGTTAATATGCCTTTTCTAGTAGTGCCCCCCCCCCCTCCCTCATTTCTATCTTCCACGTCATCAAATTTGCATGCATGTCAACCGAGAGAGCCCGTTAATAAACGTGGTTGTACAAGCCCTAAGCTAGCCAGCTATTTTCATCTACTGCCTTCGTCCATAAAAGATATATTTCTTGTCCAAGTATATGGCTAAAAACAAGATCGGCAAGGAGAAAGTGCGTATTGAAAAAATAAAATCTATTGAATAAGTCCCTACATGGGCGGAATCTTGCCTTCTTCCATATAGCAGGCTTTCCTAACTTGGGGAAATTTTCAAGAGAGACTTAAATATAATTAAGTTTAAATTAAACACAAGAATATATTGTTCCTAAGAGCATGCTGGTAGTTAACAGTAAGCCGCCGGGCACAGTGACAGTACTGCAGGCATCTTGACGACGTTGATGCGCCAACGTTTTACTTTTCTCCCAATAATTTGGTCAAGATCGATATTATTCGGCGTTCACTTTGCTCCTAATAATTGGTCAATAGATAATTCATGCCCGTTGAACAAATCAGGTCCATGCCAAGTGCTTCAGCCGCCTACTCTTAATTAGTACCGTATACGAACTCATATAAAACCTAGCAAAAGCTGTTGTAAGCAAATGTCTCAACAAAATCCACTAGTACATATCCTTATATATGTGACGGCCTCTAACATGCCTGGAAATAGCGGGCCGTCACAAGAAAGTCATCTCAATTAGGCCGAAAAAGTGCCCGATTGAGATATGGTCGCACAGACATATTACAAGGGCATAAAACTTAAGTCCGTCACGGATGACACCTATCAGTGACGGGCCGTAGTTTAGGCCCGATAGAGATAACGTTCCATATCTCAAACGGGCCTAAAGTTAGGGCCCGTCATAGATGACCATCATCCGTGACGGGCACCAACTTTAGGCCCGATTGAGATAACATTCCATATCTCAAACGGGCCTTAAATTGAGGTCCGTCACAGATGACCATCATCCGTGACGTGCACCAACTTGAGGCCCGTCACAGATGACTCATCAGTGACGGGCTATATACTAATCCCCGGTTGACACGACTTAATCTCTATCGGGCATTAACTAAAGCCCGTCACCGATGAGTATTTTTCCATTTTTCATATGAAATGTTTATATTTGTAAGTTGAACTATAGCAAAATAATTAGCTTGTAGTACAATAATTCAATTTATGAGTCAAAATAATTTTACGTGTAGTAAATGATATCAAATGGAAAAGTCATCAACAACAAAGTTGTATAGCTCAACTCATCAAGATCTATAACTTTTATTTTAGTCATTTTTCTATATAACAATTTTTGAACAGTTTGAATTTGAATTTAAAAATATGACAACTTCAAACAATATTTTCAAATACTAAATGATTTCAACTAAATAAGTTATCAACAACAAAGTTGAATAACTCATCAAAATTTATAACTTTTATTTTGGTCATTTTTCTATATAACATTTTTTGAACCGTTTGAATTTGAATTTAAAAATATGACAACTTCAAACAACATTTTCAAACACTAAATGATTTCAACTGAAAAAGTTATCAACAACAAAGTTGAATAACTCATCAAGATCTAAAACTTTTATTTTGGTTATTTCTTCATCTGATAAAATGTTAGTAACATTGTTCACAAATTTTACATATATGTGTTATAGTTTATAAAACCAGATAAGAGATATGTCAATTTTGTGAACAATGTTACTATCACTTTATCAGATGAAGAAATGACCAAAATAAAAGTTTTATATCTTGATGAGTTATTCAACTTTGTTGTTGATAACTTTTTCAGTTGAAATCATTTAGTATTTGAAAATGTTGTTTGAAGTTATCATATTTTCAAATTCAAATTCAAACGGTTCAAAAAATATTATATAGAAAAATGACCAAAATAAAAGTTATAGATCTTGATGAGTTATACAACTTTGTTGTTGATGACTTTTTCAGTTGAAGTCGTTCACTAACAAAAAATTATGTTTGAATTTCTCAAACTTTGAATTTCAAATTTCAAATTGTTTAAATAGAGTCGGATGGAGAAATGACCAAAATAAAAATTTTGCACCTCGATGAGCTCTACAACTTTGGTTTTGGTGACTTTTCCATTTGAAATCATTTATTAACCCTAATTTTTGTTCAAAGTTGTTAAATTTTGAAAATTCAAAATTTGAATTGTTCAAATGAAACTTACTTGTACAAAGGACCGATACAATAGTTGTAGATCTCGGTGAGTTATACAATTTTGTTGTTTAGGATTTTTGATGGTTGTGTATGTGAATGAATGTATATGAATGAGGGATGTTGGGGTGTGACATCTTGGCCTAGGGCTTAATAGGATTAATAGAATACTCATAGCAACAAGTTACAACTACTCTTCCGGAAGCCAACTTTGATGTTAAGCGTGTTTGGCCTGTAGCAATTTCGGGATGGGTGACTGATCGGGAAGTTCTTCTCAGGTGCACACGAGTAAGGACAAAAAAGATTGGCCTGAGAGAGAGGCTAGACGGCATGCCTAAAAATAAAATTTATTTTTTTGGAGATTATACTCATCTGTGACGGGCATTAACTTAGACCCGATTGAGAGGACTCATCTATGATGGGCATTAACTTAGGCCCGATTGAGATAGGTCATCCGTGACGGG